CCTACTCCACCAGAGGCTGGGATTTTCGGATCTAAAAAAATAAGAAAGGGATGTGAGAACAAATTGGTTTGTATATATGTATGTAAATGCAAGATCAATACTAATTTAATTTGGAGAAGCAGAGGTTGTTTGTTATCGCTTTTCATATTAAAAAATTACATATATGTACATTAGGGTGGTGATAAAAATGTAAACATCTTAATTTTTTATGGCGCACCCCTTTATTTTGTGCTATGTACAAATAAAGACAGCTAGGAATATTTAAAATTTTAGACAAACTTTTAGGGGTCACTACCAGGTTTTGAACAAATGTATATATTTTAAATCGCAAAAAATCGATAAAATGTTGACTCGCAATCTGATAATAAATTTTACATATTAATAAAATTCATTCAAATAAAATCATAAACTCGCTGAAGTATAGCCGGTCAAAATAAAAAATTCAATCTTTTAAAACCTAAGCGACACCAAATTTTTATTTATTTTTTTTAAATTAACGTCAATTTCGAAAAGAGACGGGCCAATGACGCTAATGCACCAAGCTCAGCACTAAACAGTAATTTTTTGCAGATGCCCTACAGGCAGTGCCGGATTAAAGGCGGGGCCGATGGGGTCGCGGCCTAGAGCCCCCACATGCGATAACGGTAAAACAAAAAAATTTGCATTCAGAGATTACAGATTAATAATAAATTACGTATTAATAATAGATATAGCTTAGCTTCTCCTGGCTCTGGCGAGATTCTCGACTCACGCAATAATGGAAATTTCCGTAGGATGCTGGAACTAACAGCTCAGAATAACCCCCAGACATATCAAAGAATACGGAAATAAGGGACGAGGGCGAGTGAATTATTTATTCTCAACAACCAGCGATCAATAATATCTTTGAAGGGTGAGAAATTACAGGCAGAAATACGCGAGGCTGCCGTGGTCAGTTGGTTAATACTGGATGCAACATGAGCCGCAAGTACACAGGAATTCAGGCGAGAATTTCACGTCCTTAGATTTCAATAATTAACGATACTGTAAAAATGAAAATATAATTATTTTTTCAAATCAATTGCACGTAATTATTAACTCAAACAGGGGCTTTTGAGATGCTAACTCGACTTCAACTCTAGTTCCGAATTTAATTTGATTTTTAATTTTTTCTATTCACACGGCCCTTGAATTATGAGCCTTGGTTCTAAAAATTGTTAAATTTAAAAAAAAATTATTTAAAAGAAAAACTCAACATAAGAAAAATATGTGTGAACATTTCAAATTACGAATTAAATTTTATTAATGTTGGCAACGCCGCAGCGCGCCATACGTTACCATTTTGATAGAACGAAAAGTGTAGAACTATTGAATTAATCTACCTTCAGGCATTTCCTTTCGTGAGCAATGAATCCGCCTTCAGAAATCCTACAGAAATTCCTTTCAGATTTCGTTTCATCCACTTTATATGATTTTCTTTGAAGGATCGTAAAAAAACTTTAGACAATTTGGATACTCTTAAAGATTTTGGGAATTTAGGTTTTGCAAGGTGGTTATACCTGATTCCTTATTCCTACAGTACAGGCGTGAGAAACGCCGCCAAAACGACAATTCCTATAAGTATAACTAGTATGAAGACTTTCAAATATGTAAATTTTGTTGTATCCAATTCTCACTGATTGAACTTAGCTAACAAAATTTATCAGTGACTTGAAGAAAATCTAGGAACCACTTTCCACAGATCTAAAGAGTAACGGGAGTTCATCAGGAGAAATTAAGTAAGTAATTAAGCTTAATAAGAGAATTTCCAAAATTTACAAATGTACAAATCGTTTGATCCCTGCTTAAAGCTATAATAAATATCTATAATTTCATATTACTTCTGAGGCGATATGAACCTCTGTTAAGTAACTTTTAAACACTTATATATAAGTATATATAGTATATAGTAATGAGACTTTACTTACTTCCCACAATCGACTCGCAGAAAACTGTCTCCAGAACCCTCGGTCAATATGCTACGCGCCTCCGAAGGCCGACAACACGACTCGGGTACCCAACGTTTGCCACTCCACGACTGAATATCATACCAGTCTTCATACGAGGAGACGCCACAACATTCGAACTAGTCGATTCATAAACATTAAAATAAAATAATCAATCTATTTAGTGGTCATTTGGCGTAAGAAGTCCTTCTTCCACTCACCGATTGCTGTACACTGTCCCAAATGGCGGCCACAGATGGCGCCACCAAGCTGCCACGATCCGAAGCGTTATAATGCAGCTCGATGCCGAAACGTAACT